CTAACACAACGCCTGCTGAGTTGAACAGTCAGCTTTGCTGACCTGAAGCTGCCATTCAGAGCAGGCCGTGCTCTATGCGGCTACACCACTTCTACGCCCTGGCCGGGAGGTATTCCAGACTGGGCTGGGCTCCAGGTCAGGCTGGAACACTTGCCGGCATGCAACCACGCTCGGCACGCTCGCTGACTGCTGCACGAGCGGAGCGTTTTTGTCCACGTGTTGTTTCGACGAACACCAATTGGTGTCAGCGGCGCCATTTCGCTAATGTGGCGATGACTGGCTGGTGCCAGGCCCCCGTGCCAGCCGCCTGGAGCCTCGATTAGAGGCGCACTCAGGCTCCCAGATGGGGGAGTGGGGGGGGGGGGGGGGGAGACGCACGCGCCTCGCTGCCTGGCAGGTGGAAGAAGAGGCAGGTACAACCTGCTCCCGGTCGACCCAGGAGAGAGACGACCTGCTTCCCGGTCGGTCCGAGAGAAACGCGATTTGCTCCCCAGTCGACCCGGGAGTGACATGACCTGTTTCTCGGTCGATCCGGGAGAGACATGACCTGCTTTCTGGCCGGTCCGGGAGAGACACGACATGGGCGACATGCTCAATTATTGCATGTAATGGCATCCAGCGACGCTGAATGAGACGGCTCCCCGCAGACTGCAGCCTTTGACATTCTAAGATCGCAGCTACCTGTAGAAATCGATTGGATGTGAGACAGACGGAGAATTGATTTGATGGCTGTTGAGCGGGCCTCTTTGCTTTATTTAGGTTGTTTTTTTCAGTCAGCCTCACCATCAGTTGGTACGACGTCAAACCAGCGAGGGCAGCCCGCAGCCCGAAATTTTAACAGTCTGCTATCACAACTTCACACTAATTCCGTCAACACCGATAATTTTCAGGTGTGGTTAAAATTTACCGACAATCGTTCGGACGCCCGTCAGTCATCATGAGACAAAATTTGACCATCAGCTGGCGCCGTTCAGGCAAACAATTGCGAACTGCACTCGATTTCGGCGCTTTGTCGGAAGCGGTAACGAGACAGGACGACTAATAACCACGGAGCGGTTTCGTGCTCCCCGCGTATGCCATCTTTAAGTCAATTTTCCTTAATATCGTCATTTTCCTTTGAAAGCCTTCACGGCTTTTATGTTTTTGTAGCCCCTTTTCAGCACCCAAAGGTGGCAATACCAGTGGTGGCACCTAGGCTAAACATTGGGGAGGGAACAAGTGGTAGCAAATTTCTTAACTCCATGCTTCAGTCTTTTCACGCAACACGCGCTAGCAATGTTTATTTCCAAACTTATCAGGCGCCCCCCCCCCCCCATTGCCGGTATCGCCACCCGTACCATCTGAAACTGCGCGAGTCACGCTGACACCTGTATACCCGAAATACCTTAAACCACATGGAGAGTGGGCTCAAGTAAAGGACGGGGTATACGCGCAGTTTTGAAGTTGGGGGCAATCAGTGCCTTATGTGTATGCCCTTTGATATCTATATGGTGACAGCATTTGCATTTTGCATTTCATGACCCATCTTTGTTTCCGGTAGCAGCACACAGACCCAGGTGAATGAGGGATATGCAGTTGGTTGGAAGCACAAGGCGTGCCTGAAGTGTCAGTCTACCAGCCTGCTGTCAGCCCGCCAGCCCGCTGTAAACCCGCCAGCCCGCTTGTAAACCCGCCAGCCCGCTGTAAACCCGCCAGACCGCTGTCAGCCCGCCAGCCCGCTGTAAACCCGCCAGCCCGCTGTAAACCCGCCAGCCCGCTGTAAACCCGCCAGCCCGCTGTCAGCCCGCCAGCCCGCTGTAAACCCGCCAGCCCGCTGTAAACCCGCCAGCCCGCTGTAAACCCGCCAGCCCGCTGTCAACCCGCCAGCCCGCTGCCAACCCGCCAGCCCGCTGTCAACCCGCCAGCCCGCTGTAAACCCGCCAGCCCGCTGTAAACCCGCCAGCCCGCTGTTAGTCCTGCAATCCGCCGCAAACTTTACGGCGGCTCGACCAGTGGCTGCAAAAATATAAGCCCATCAAAAGCATGATCGGCCGGGCTGGCCAGGCCAGTGACGCTACAGAATGTCCGGTTCATTGACGTTGAGACTGACTCGGCCTACGACTTTGCTCCTAATGCCCAAGTAATTCATGAGCAGGGCTATCAGTGATCAACGGGGCTAAAAAACAATCCCCTTTTTCCCACATTCTGAACTAATTTCTTAGCCTCTCCGGCTGGGTACACAAATATTCATCACTGCCAAATGACCAATTGGGCACATTCTGGCAAGAATATGATTGCAATGTTATGAAGATGACATCACTATTGAAAGCTTACATGTCTGCATGCAGTTCTTGAGGAGAACACTCGAAGTTTCTTTTGTTTCTTTGGAATGCTTTATCATAACTTTGGAATGCTTTATTATGTTCAACTTTATGTTTGTTAAAGTCATCCATGTGAGATGAGGTAACACCAGGATACCAAAATGGTCACGTCCGGGGACCTCACAAATGTTGAACGTAAAGACGCGTTCTGCCTTATTTACTCAAAGATAGCACCAAATTTTGACTGAATGTATTACTGGGAATCAGAGCCCATGCTTTGTAAGGCGTGTTACGTGGGCCTTGACTACACCGTCAGACGTTACATTCCACTTCAACAAAACAATTTGGTGTCAAAAGTTTTACGTGCCGGATGGTCGCCACGGTCCACCCTGCCCTCCGCGCTATCTGACCTGGGGCGGTACCACCAGCCGCAGGCTATTCCAGCCAGGGGCACACAGCGAGTGCCGAACTGACTAGCTCATCCACCCCGTCATGGGCTAGTTGAGAGGCATGCGTTCTCGCCGGCTGAGTACGGCGGGGACATTTGTGATACATTGCTCAGCAAACTTTTCCACACCAGTGACTACTGATCACATCATATGAACTTCACCATGCGAAGCACAAGAGTAGAAACTTGATACGAAATGACCTTGCTTGACTCTCACCCGTGTTGAGCTCTAGCTGACCTGGTCTCAATACTAATCCTCCATGAAAAATGTTGTAGCGTCTATGTTTGGTGCCGGTTCCAAATCTTGCCCACTGATCAGAGCTCTCGTGTGGCGCAAGGAAGGAGCAAAATACTAACAGGGGTGTTATCATGCAGATGATACCAAAACAAAAGCAAAAGGACCTCATCATGTTCGGAAACCAATGCAAATGAGTTTTATCAACTCACTGAAGTGTTGCCTTTGCATTTGTTCCGCAGGCAGAGGTGCACTGGAGCTTGGCGCTCGCGCAGAAGGCCACAAAATGTGTTACCTGACAATGGGTAGACTTTGGATTTGATAAAGCTCATCTTTTTATTCGACAACGTCAAATAAGACTGGAATAATCTGAATTTTTAGTGGCTGTGATCATAGCGTTGCCAAGATGCAGACATTTTGGTTGCATATTGATCACAGCAAGCCGTAGCACACACCTAAAGATTTTTCAGTGCCAAGTCTCAGCCAGCTCAGGCTACATCATGCCACATTGTAGACCAGCTCCGGAGAGGGTAACATTGAACGCTTCACGGTCCGGTGCAAGTACGGCCCGAATTTTTACTTTTAGAAGTGCATTTGCACACACTTCCCCGACGATTTCACGTCTTCATCTGGTCTGGTTGTTGTGGTCTCACACAAATCCTCAAAAGTGTAAAATGGCTGGCCTGTAGCTTGCATTTGAGAATGAATGACCTACTGCCTATATTGATCAAACTTGCGCCTGGCCGTTACTTCCTCGGTCAAAATGCGTTAAGCTCCTTTTGTTGCGCCGCCGGGTCTTGATGACCTTGACCAGGTTTTGGTGTACGTTCTTCAGCTTTCTCGCAATCAGAATTTTTGTGTTTCCTGTAGTACTCAAACGAGGAGGTGCAATCATTTATCAAACATTGTAGCTAAGTTCCGTCCGTCTGATCAAATAGCTTGTGAGTCCCATGGGAATATTACACACAGCGTATCTGAGCAAGACCTGTGCTACGTGTTGCCTAAAGCTACACACAGGTGCGGTCAGTGACTGTAAAGATATGACGCCGTCAAAAGCTTGATTACCCGAGTCGGGTATGGTCTCTGAGATTACGAAATTTCCGTCTAGTTGGCCGTAAGGCAACCTTTACCTGTGGCTTCGCTGTATTAAGTGATTTTCTTGACCTGAAGCCAGAATTGCAGACAGTATTTTCTTAGGGAGGGGGAGGGTAAGAGACCGAAGGAGCCGTCTATAATGCTGAAATGAAACACGCGGACATAAGAGCTCCCCACTGGCTGCGTCCCTGCCTGAAAGGTCATCATCCACGAGACGGATGTAAACTTAATTCTTGAGGAACATCGACCTAAATTATTGATTGAGTTTTAAATTTATCCGATCTGACAATTAGAGCCCGAGATGACGGAGACGGTTAAATGAAGATTAAGACCGTCTCATATTTCGTCACTGTTAGCGAAATCAGCCTCAGAAAGTGCTGGATTAAGGGCTCACAAAGCTCATAAGGGTTGAATTACTCGTCAGAGGTCCAGAATCCATACCATGGAGTTAAAACAAATAAACGGTCTGCACATAGTCATCGTGACCTCAGACAAAGCAAGGCACGTTTCATAACAATACACTTATTTTCCGGCATCGCTATCATCTATAACAATTTGGTAATGCAAACGAACGAAAATTTTGACTGCCTTACATTTGAAACCAGATAAATGCATTCAAAAGCGTCCTTGCGCGTGACAACGGTAACAGATGGCACGTGGTAACAAGACTAGCAATTTGGGATAGAAATATGCACGCCTCTTGGAGCTCACTACATCGACCCATGAACAACGCCCTGTTGCGTATTTGAAAGAAGAGGTGTAGCTCCCATTTTAACATCCATGCCGCAAACAGTGATGCGGCGTGTCTGACGCCTATTGGAGATGGCACTCGTTTGCAGTCCTCCGGAACACGCACTTGGACCGTCGGGCTCGTGCAATGGTGGCCGTCGTTGGCAACTGAAGTTCGCCTTTTATTCGCCAGGGTGCACCCAGAGTCGACGCTAAACCTGCTCCGCCGGGAGATTTCCGCCCAGCTGCTGGGCAACGAGCTCGCCCTGCGCCACTACAAGTTCGTCCGGCCCGTGGGAAAACACTTCACGCAAGTAAATAATGCCCCAGAAGAGCGTCCACTCGGCACGTCACGCAGTGTGTCTGAGAGAGCCGCGCGGCGTAGCACGCGATAGTGGGACATTGGTGACCGATCTCACGAAGCCACGTTATCACCATGGGTATACCACCACGTATACATCACACACACACACACACACACACACACACACACACATATATATATATATATATATATATATATATATATATATATATATATATATATATATATATATATATATATATATATATGCTCAAATCAAAGAGGAGACTTAAATCTGACTGCGGTTGTCAAATGCACAGTCAGATAATCTCTGCTCACGTTACAATAACAATTAACTTCTGCACAATTCATCGCAGAAGTTGATCGGGATTATAGGCTTGTGCGTGCTGGTTGCTGGTGCCCAGCTGTTCAGTTTGTGTGGTGTGAAATATGAAAGATAACTGAGATGGAAAAAATATCAGAACAGGAACGCAAAACCAGTTCATATAAACCACAGTAGGACACACCCTGAGACATACTCTGAGATTGGACACGATTTCCTTGAGTCAATGACTGAGTCGACTCCATTCAATTTTGAAGCCACATTTCGGTATCGAGCCGACTTTAGCTTGTGAAACTTAGTGGAAGTCAAAGTAGGGATAAACTCTGTACATTAAATCAAACTCCCTGCCATCTTTCGCGCAACTGAGCATGATTTGCCATGTTTGCCAAACCCTTGACGGATATGCGTGAAAGCGCGATCAAAAGATGCGCGCAAATCACATCAGAGAAGCATCTCACGTCTCTGACAGCGTGATCAGTGAAGCCACTCTGGAGACCATGACACCCAAATCCAGGGCTGCTTCCTCTTGTAAACTCAGACACTTCTCAATAATTATCAAGTGAGCATCAATATTGTTCACCAAAATAACTTTGTATCCATGATACCCGTGCATATTGGTCAATCACACATGTATGGAACTTGAAGCCCACTATCATCCTCTCCATTGTTGATTGTGTTATTAGCATAGACCAGTGCTAAAAGACGGAACACTGAGACCCACGATAATCACGCTAAACATTTTCTTTTTGGGGGAAGGGGTCAAGTAGAGAGTGTTGTTGGGCAGGTCGTCACATACATGAGGTCATATTGGTGGGTCTTCTTCGCTGTCTCTGATGGCATACAACAGAGATAAAAGAGTTATCCGTATGATTTAGGTGAATTCAGTCGCATCCGAGGTTAACAGTCATCAGCCAAGGCTGTTCTTCAATGATCATGTTGCAGTTGTGGGCCTTTCAGCCATTGTTCTCTGGGATACCTTTGGAACAAGCTGAATCCCCAAACCTCAACTAGCAACGACCTGCGGGTGTGTTTTTAATGATTTACAGAAAGCCTAACGATGCATTGTTGCCTAGGCTTTTCACAGCTGAGAGACACTTGAGCGCGCGAGCGCGCTTGGAGGGCTGTTCCAGTTGCAACTGGGCGATAATTAGATCCCCGGATGTTCCATGGATGTCCTTCCCTTCCTGTTCTAGGCGCCTTTACTGGCTGTGGTGAACGGGAACTAGCTACTTCTCGGAAAGCACTCATATGTTGATGTTTATGCAAGGTTGCATTGATTGCGCGACATAAACGCAATTAATATATAGGAAACGTAAACTTCAGTAAACATGGTTTAATTTGAGCGTTTGTGTTGAACGTTTTAAGCAACACCTCGAATAAAATGCTAACGTTCCATGTCACAATATGTCAAACTGGAATGCTGACCCCCAAACATGAAAGTGAACGGCTTTGCCCTCAAAACTGCAAGTGAACGATTTTATCTTGTCCCATTTTCATGTATTGAACACAATTTACGTCTAAATTTGTCACTTGACCCAACGTACGTGGCTGAATAAAAGCTTTCACATCAAAGGTACTTCAGCCATTCAGGATGAAAATGTTCCTGGTCGGAATCTCTTATTTGTAGCCTCCTTTTTCGTTGGCATGCTCACCCCCCAAGGATTGCTGGCCATCCAGTGGGTAGTATTGTCTTTCACTGTAAACTAATAACGATTGCGAGACATATGCTTATTACTGGCTTCTGCTGAGCGGGTACACCATTACGCAACGTTCGGGTAACAGCCTAGCCATTTCACACAGAAGATCAGAGAAAGCCCTCAGTGTTTCCTTTATGTTGTCTGAAACCTTTGAAATGCAGCCTTAATGTTTGGGGTCTCCGGTTTTCAATCACCTTATTTGCACCTTTCTGCGAAGGTGACTACATCATGCAGTACCCTCCAAAGGACAAGGCATTTATGCAACAACGTCGACTCCAGAGACAGCCCCAAAGGTTGCTTGGCTCGACCGACATGGAAAGGTCAGCTGGCAATTGGCCAAAGGGCGCTGACCTGGCACGGAGTGACCACGCCGCAGCGTCGTGTGGCACACAAAAGATCCATTCGCGGTCCCATCTGGGTGAACGGGTTTGATGTAAAGCTGTCGGGCGAACAGGAAAGCCACAAACAGCACAGCTGAGATGATAAGCTCAGCACACATGCAGCAGGCTCTGGATGGTTCTCAGCACTCAGAGTCTACACCCACTGTTACCAAACAGCACAGCTGAGATGGTAAGCTCAGAGCACATGCAGCAGGCTCTGGATGGTTCTCAACACTCAGAGTCTACACCCACCGTTACCAAACAGCACAGCTGATATGGTAAGCTCAGCGCACATGCAGCAGGCTCTGGATGGTTCTCAGCACTCAGAGAGCCACAAACAGCACAACGGAGATGGTAAGCTCAGCGCACATGCAGCAGGCTCTGGATGGTTCTCAACACTCAGAGAGCCACAAATAGCACAGCTGAGATGGTAAGCTCAGCACACATGCAGCAGCCTCTGGGTGCTTCTCAGCACACTGAGCCTACAGCCTCTGTTACCAACCAGAGGGAACAAAAATATCAAAAACGAGTGAAGTAGATCACGTATTTCAAAGGCAGTCTTCGGTAATGGGATTCAAGTGGCGTGCGGTGATACACCCAACTGAAAATTATCAGGATTATTTTTTTGTAGATGGGCATATGCGAATATGAATGCACCCATGGACGCAACAAATCTGACTTTCCGATGTTGTAATAGCATCAGGGACGCTATCGCCGAGTAGCAGATAAAGGTGATCTCATACTTGAACGCCTCGTTCTAACTGACTTTCTGCGTTCTTGATAGCACTTCCCCTGAGAATTAAAGCATTTGTTTTCAATTTTAAAACAGTTCAACAGGGGCGAGCACGTTTTAAGTGCTTCGTGCTCACGCGTAGCGAGCAAATTTATTGGATATAGGCGCACAAAAACGGAAGCGCTCGCGCGTGTGTGTGTGTGTGCGCACGCGTGCGCGTCGCGTGTGCGTTTGTGCATGTGTGTGTGTGTGGGAGGAGGGATATGCCCCTCCACTTTCGTGCAAGCTGGATATAGTGGTGCATTGACAAATGTATTGATATTCCCCCATACCCCTCTACCATAACCCCCCACTTATTCGACGATTCTACGTCCCGCGTGTGGATTAGGAGCATGACCATGCGTTCGCTATATTTGGAGATATGACACCAGTGATCGTTAACAATGCGATAGCTCGTTTTTCTACCGTACATTTTCTTGGGTCTCTCTTTGTGCACAAGTTTGGTATAATCCACAGCTTTGAATTGATGGAGCTATCTGTTTAATCTGTATGGGACCAGGTACAAGAGAGTAAGCAATATCAGTGTGAAGTACCAGAAGGGAATGGTGAAGGTCGGCAAATTCAGACCCAGAGTGAGCTGTGTAGTTTGAGGCTTAAACACTTCCCGCCAGTCTTCTACAAATTTTGCTGGATTCTGTGAACGACACTCATCGATCTATTTTAGCTACAGATCCTATTTCCCGAAGCGACACTTATTAATGCACTGCATTGATCACCGGCTGACTTTGCTATTACCACTCGGGTTCGCTGAGAATTTTCTCACACCAGCTGCGGTAGAAGCGTGGGTAAGCATCTGCCTGGTCTATAGTTTTAGGTTGTTCTGCTCCATGCTACGTCGTCAATGCTCCTCTGACAGCTACCAGTGGAGGTTGACACATGAAAGTGCCTCCTCACCTTAAGCATGCCCCCCCCCCCCTACCTCAAAAGTTTTATGGCGCGTGTTCTCGGATGGTCTGATGCTTTAAGGCACTTACAATGCATGTTGGCAAGATGCTGGCTACTCAGATGTTTCCTGAGCTCCTTGTTGTAGTATATAACATAAGTATACAAGCTGGTACCCTTCTCGGGATGCCAGCTGATCTCAGTTAACCTCCAGATTTGGCCCGAACTCTGATCTCAATTATTACGTGGCTAGACTTTTGGAACAATGTCAAAGTTTTACATTCTGATCAATCTGCAACCACCGAAAAAGGTGCGATGCGTAGGACTGCAGTGACATCGGGTAAGCTTTTTCTATGACGCCGAAATGGTAGCGTCATCAGCCAACATATCGACATAAGAGCATATATAACTTCTTGCGCTTAACTAGCCTTTGAACTCACTAAATGACAAATGCTTGTATCACATGCTTTCACTTCACCGGACCTGTGAACCAATCAGCACCCTTGCTTTCACCTGAACACATATTTCTTGAGGCGTAACATGTAGGGCTACCAATTACACTATGAACCGACAGAATGCGTCCATTCATTCCAGAAATAGAGGGACTCACGATCGCTGAATGCCTCAGCCAATGCCGAGCTAAGCCATAGGTGAATACCTCACAGGTGTCTGTCAGTGAAGAGCAGTCGACCTCACCGTAGTCATTGAGTGATACGTCCCAGAAGCGTGCATGGCCCACGCGGCCGCACCAGAATGTCCCCAATGTGATATTAGACTGCGCCGCCCTACACGCTAAGCTGCTGTGCCGCTTGACATAGTTTGACGTGTTAGACTGTGCCGCTTGACATAGCTTCCTGGCGGCGCAGTTTTTCCGTCGGCCGGCAGTCGTTGATAGTTCGACTTCGGACCCATATC